CGAGGAGGAGAGAAACAAGAATTTCTAAAACAAAGACAAGGAAACTCTAAGAAAAATCTGGTCCCTAGAAAGAAACTTGATCAGAAAATGGAAAAGAACTTTTTAAATAACAAACAAACAAACAAATAAAAGCAGGGTTAGGGGAATGGCGAGGTGTAAGCTTGAGGACCTGAGTTTGAGTCCACGTCATCCACGTGAAAGTCCATGCACACCAATACGCCTGCTCCCACGGGACAGAACCCAGTGCATACTCAGAGAATCCACTGGCCAGTCTATCCAAACTGGATAGCTTCTGATTCAGGGAGAGAACCTGCACCAAGTCAACAGGGTACCACACAGGTGCACACGTACACACATTCACAGGCATGCACCATGCACATCACACACACACACACACACACACACACAATTAAAAACAAAGAACAAAAACCACAGAAGACAAATGAAAATGTGTTTTTATGTCTGTACAAAGCACATTAAAAAAAATTCTTTATTCATTTGATAAAACACCTGACCCATAAGGTTGAAGACCTGAGTTCAGAGCCCCAACCTCAGAACCTACAGGAAACCCCAATCCTGGCAACATATGCCTGTAATACAAGCAAATGCAAGATGGGAGACAGAAGCTCCGGGCTGGTTAACCTCATCTGCTTTGACACAAAGCCGCTGAGTGTCTTTGTCTCAAAGAACAGAGAGAGGGAAGGTACCTGAGACAACATTGGAAATGTTCTCTCACCTCTGCACTCCAAGTGTATCAAGTACACACATATATGTACAAACACGAGCGCATGCACGTGCACACACACACACACACACACACACACAACTAAATAATTTGACTACCAGAAACCTAAACACTGACAAGACAGAGACATGGTGAGACCTCATATCTGTCTTTCTGAGCCCCTGTGAGTTAGCTAGTTTAACTTACAGTTGGCAGTAAATTCTTCCTCTTCATTTGCCTGCCTCATGCATCAGGTGTTTCCTGCTCCTCTGACATGTCTCAAGTGCTTCCAGACTTTTGCTTTGGCTCCAATGATAAGCCTTTATCCATAAAGAACCCACCCAGGGTGCCACAGAACCAGAAATCGCTCTGCTTGCTGGCTGACATTGACCCCAGGATTAGCATTTCCCAGGTTGTTCTCAGCAGAGGCCTGCTGCACAGGGCAGCTTCCTGGACTCTGGCTGTCTCCTGACAGGGACTCTGCATGTCTGTCTGCTTCCCACATTGCTGTCGTCCAGAGCCTGTGGAGGCACAGGTTCCTAGGGTTTTCTTGTTTGGATGGTGGATTTCCCTTTTGCTTAGAACTTGGGTTGTAGTTTTATTTTTATATTTTATCTGAAGAAACTGAAGAAGAAAGAGCACCACAGAGACATTAGTTGTATAAAAAACAGACAGATTTGTCTTACCAGTGTTGACAATACAGAGTCACTAATTTTACCTTATCTGCAAGCAAACAAACCAAAAATCAAAGCAGTAACAACCAGGCTTGATAGTACATGCCTACAATCCCAGCATGCAGAAGGCTGAGAAGAAAAATCAGAGTTTGTGGTCAACCTGGACTACACAGTGAAACTTTCTGAAACCAAACAAAGTCACAAAATACTTTTATGTAAATGAATAACTTTCTCAAAATTGAAAAAAAAAAGACAAAAAAAAAAGAAAGTTCACAGCAATTCACAGAATGATACAAAGGAAAAACATAGTTTCTCAAGGCTGAACTTAAAATTTTACTTCTGAGAACAAAATTTTTATTGTTTTCTTGCTGTGTTCCAGATAAGCAGCTGGTTCAAATCTGAACAAGGCAATGTTTTTTGCTTTTTTGCAGAAGCATACTCTTCGTTAATAGTAAATGTATAAATCTGATGGCCTACGAATTAGCAGATTGATCTATTTTGTCTTAGCACTTGGGGGCTGAGGCAAGAGACTCACTGAGAGTTCAAGGCCATCCTATATCACATAGAGGGCCCCTGTCTCCAAAACCAATGTAAAACATCAGAACAGAAAAACAACACATTTGGTTTGTGCATTCAGTATTGCAGAAATAGAAGAATGAACTAAAAGGCAAAAAGGAAATTTGCCCCAATTAAAAGTACAAAATGAATATATGTTGCATGTAAGATACTTGAACCTTAAATTAAAAATAAAATATTTAGTGCATTTGGAGTTCAATGAATCTTTTGTTGATCATATTTTTTTCTCTCTTATATATCAATGTTTCCACAAAACAGGTTTCAAATCATGTTATGGACACTAGTAGCTTGAATCTCATGCTGACTCCACCCTTACCTCAAGAAGATGTGCTCTGTCTGAATGTCAAGTTGAGAGGAAAAGAATGAGGGGTGTGATTGCCCTGGCGGACTTGTAGGCATACCTGCTAAACACGGTGCTCAGGGATCAAGCCAGTTGCTTAATTTCTTCACAACCCAGAGCTCATTTATTTCAAGAGGGTGAGCGCACCCCTGATGCCGAGGCTCATAAACGAGTGGGCCATAGTATAGGAACATCAGACCCTGCTCTACACTCTGAAGCAGGCTTTAGCTGCATCTGTTCAGTAGGTCTTGATGCAAGATTTTGTTTAAAAGAAAGTTTCTACTCACTGCCGTTTAAAAGGTCTGAAAACCCCACTGCTCAAATGTCCTGTTTTCCAAGGCATGGCGGCTGATGCCTCTAATCTCTTTGCACTTTGGGAGGCTGAGGCAGGAGAATTACTTGCCCTAGAGAGTGAGTATGTGGGCAAACTTGTTTACAACGAGGCCCTGTTTAAGAAAAACAAAACAGAATAAATGATTTTGCAACTTAGGATCATGTTTACCCATTTGTCCTTTGGCCCAAAGCCAAGTCTCTTCCCTTTTTCTCCTCCCATTAACCCTGAACTCTAAGTATTAAGGCCTCATTGCTCTCGCCTCCCCAGATCTGGATCCCTGCGGTACAGTGGGCTAATGAGTTAAGGATGATGTCATTATAATTGCAGAAACTATTTCATGATAATCTTTTGTTTTCCTCTCACTAACTTTCTAAAGGAAAAAACACTTTATTAATTATCTGAGCATCGGCAGCTTTTGGGAGGTAAACTCTATATGAAGGCTACTGCTATTAGCCACATTGGATGAAGCACTTGGGGATTAAAAGTGTTATGTAAATGTTTACACATGCTTATGACATGGCCCCAGATTCACACCGGGGTGGAACAAACAGCCCAGACAGAAGTATTAAGCCCCAGAGAGGCAATGATATTTTTTTGCAAGGTATGAAGTTGCCTTTTAATTTTAGCATAAAGATAGTCGCACTTTTGAAGAGTGTCATTCACAGCCATTAGGTGACATTTATGAGTGTGAAAGAAAGTCACTCTACATTGAGGGTTAACTATTTTAAGAACTGGGGTAGAGTGAGGGGTGCGGGAAGCAAGGAGAAGAGGGAAATAAAGGAGAGATTAAAACGGGAGAGGTTTTTGGAGTGAGTAGAACTTTTGATAATAAGAACGACAGCTCCCAAAGGCAGGATCTGAGGGTCTGCCTGTGCTTTTCTCTCTGGAAGAACAATGGTATTCTCAAGATAACTTCATATTCTCTCTCTCTCTCTCTCTCTCTCTCTCTCTCTCTCTCTGTGTGTGTGTGTGTGTGTGTGTGTGTGTGTGTGTGTCATTTTATTTCACTTTATTTTTTGATAAGTTCTACCTAAGAGGCAAGAAACTGGGAGAAATTGTAAACCTCAGCCCAGCCCCTCCCCGGGCCAGGCTTACACAGAAAGGGCATTCCTGAACACTCACTGAGTCAAATATGATACCGCTTTTCTGAGGGGTGCCTCTTGCTGATGGAGTATGTACCTACTAGCCCTTTTGTTCTGCTAGGATTCAAACCCAGGACCTCACTTGTCTTAATCAGGAGCCCTGCATCAACTCTAGGACTGGGCTACACCCCAGCCTCTAAACTTGCTTTTCAGCCACTATGAGGGCCTCCAACTGCTCTGCGAGCACAGGGGATATTGCTTCCTTCCAGCCGATTCTCCATGTATGGTAATGATCTAAAATTTTCTTCTTGAAATTAGAGTCAGAAAAAAGTGGGGAATTGACATAAAAGAAGGATGCACACAAAGCTTACTCGGCTCAGGGCTCTGACCAAAACGTTGACAGTCTGAAAGCCTGGACTGGATGATTTCAAGGTTGTCTGACTCCAGGATCCTGGGAGGACAGGTGGCAGGAGGAAGGGGTCCTGCCACAGCTGCTGAGAAGCATTAGCAAGAGCCAGCATCCCCCCAGACAGGACAGAGCCCGAGTCCAGGAGGCACTGCTTAAGAAAAGAATTCCGTGTCCTGAGAAAGAAATCCCTTACCCTGTCAGTACAGAAGGCTAAGCCAGGAACTGCGGACACCACAGGAGCCAGGGCTGCCTGGTTTTTCAGATACGAACTGCAGGGGTCTTTGCTTTTACTGTGTGTGTGTGTGTGTGTGTGTGTGTGTGTGTGTGTGTGTATGTATTGTTGCCACCGCACTTGTGTGGAGGTCAGAGGACAGCTTGTAACACATCTCTCCTTACACCACGGAGGTTCTAGGAATCAAACAAAGGCTTGGCAAAAGCTGAAGTGCCTTTACCCACGGGGCCATCTCACTGGGCCCTGTGTTTGGTTTTAAGTAGAGGACAAAGGCACAAGTTGGTAGACACACTGACATTTTCACTTCACATTTTTGAGTGATGGTGCATTTCCCTCTTCTTGTTATTTAAATTTAATGAGAGAGAAAGGAATGCGGAGAGGGGAGGGGAACAAATGAAAATTCTGTAGGAAGTTGACGCCAGAAAACACAGTAAATTCGAGCTTGTTAGCAGCAAGGCTCCAGATTATTTTTTAGAAACAAATCCTAGCAGTAATGCAGTTACAGCCTCGGAGGGGGTGGGGGGAGCTTTAAGCCAGGTATCAGTGTCCCAGAACCAAGCGGGAGAAAGAGGAAGCAAGCAGCCTAGCCAGTCTTCTGAAGGGAATAGGAAAGGAAATCCCGGAGGCCGGAGAAGCCCCCCAAAGGAGGAGAAGGCTACAGCCTACAGTAATCTGTAAATGATTGCTCCTAAAGTCTGGAAGCTTCGGGCTTGAGCTGTGTTTGTTCCAAAAGAAAGCCGAGGAGCACGGAGTTAATAAAGAGAGATTTAACTGAGAACTCTGGTTGGAATAAAGTGGGCTACAAAAAAGGTCAAATTTGATCAGTTGGAGCAGATTACAGGGGCTTTGAAGGGTGGTGTGGAGAGCTGGAACCGGTCTGGGAAGTAATAGAGCTCAAGATTGATTCAGGGGGTGGAGAGAAGCCAGGACAAGCGCTTATCAGTCCTGGACGGAGGAAGAGCCGTGCTGCTGGGCGCTGCTGCTCCAGCCTGAGCCCAGAAGCCGCCTCTGCCTGCGTCCCTGTTACCCTGTCCAGGCACCTCTGCTCTCGGATTTGCCTTCCTTCCGCAGCTCTCAGACAATGGTTTCCCTAATCTCTGACTTGGACTCCCTGAGAGCCTGGAAAGTGTTAAGGTAGGCCTGCTTCTCTTTCTCTCCCCGCGCTATTTCAGTTCAAGGCCAGCTCCTGCCCACCCCCACCGGCTAGGGAGAGAGCCTGGCATTCTCTGAAATGCCTGCGTTGGGGTTTAAGTGACAAGCCAACATGGCCGGAGGAATACTGTGTTCTGACCAAGGCACAACTTTAAGGAGACAGACAAGACATGAAAGTGGTCCTCAAGTTTCCCTGCAGGGGAGCAGAGCACGCAAGCTCTCTCCAGGAGCGTTCGGTGCTGTTTCAATGCTCCCAGTGCTGGCTGGCTCAGAAAAGAGTCCTTACGTTTCATTATTGCTTCAGGGGGCACTGAAGGGTTGGAATGGAATATGGTGGACTTCCTGGGGCTTCACAGAGAAGAGTAACCCCCCCCCCCCGCAAAAAAAAAAAAAAACTCATTAACCTCATTATTGCCCACACTTGAAGAGTCCAAAGAAATGTGTCACTGCTGCGAATTCTCCCCTTACTCCCAGGTCAATGTTGGAAAAGTTGATATATACAAACAAGCTCAGCTGGTGAGATAGTATGTATGTAGTAATGATCTCTGTCTCTCTCTCTCTCCCCCCACCCCCGGGGAGGGGGCTGGGAAATAGCGAAGTTTAAGTAGCATGCAGACGACCCCGAGCTTAACCCGAAGCCTTCTGTAAACTCAGCCTGGCCGTGGGCGCTCAGAACCCCTGCACTCAAAAAGTAGAGGCAGGAGTTCAAAGCCATCCTTGGCTCCAAAGCGAGTTTAAAGCCAGACTACAACCCCATCTCAAAAATAAAGAAACGGATAATAAAAATGTAAAAAATGACCTTGGACCTATTCACAGCTTAAAACCTTTAACAGCTTTAACTTAAAACCTAAGTTAAAATGGGCACGTTCTGGTGTCGTCTCCACTTGAGTCTAAACTGCTCCTTCGGTGGAATCCATAGCGAGTTGGTGGGTTTAACTTAACTCTAAACGATAATCCCAAGGGAAAGCATTTGGGACAGTTTTTTAAAATGTTAAATTCAGAGATGATTTTATTATTATTTAAAATGATTCTACTCAGTTTTCGTGCTTTTCCAAACACCTTCTCCAAAACTTGGTTTTGTCAGAGGTAGACCAGAACCAAAGTCAGAATATATAGGATTAGAAACATGCACCGCGGACAGGCCTACTAATGTCTGCCTGGGATTATCTTTTTAGTTCACTTTTGGGAGTTCTGCCTCAGTATTCGTCTGATTTTATTATTTTTAAAGCCATGTCTATAAACAAGAACAAATAAAAATAGAACAATAGTCATCTTCTTTTTTCCAGTTATTACATCACTTATTTTTATCTATTTATTTTCTTTATTGCGTGCTGCGTGTGTGTGAGATGGGGGAGGACAGTGGCCCATGCCAGAGCCCACATGTGTTAATCAGGGTATATCTGCTATGGAGACCGCTTTCTCCTTCCAACTTTACATAGAATCTGGATATCAGGCTCAGTTTGTCAGACTTACCCCTTTGCCTTCTAGTCCTAAATCTTATATTCTAGGACTTTCTGTATATATTCACATTGCACATCATATAATATGTGCCTTTTCCAATTATATCCTATCCACGTTTGGTCACCTATCATGGCTGTGGCTTTCATGGCCAAGTACAGCACTGTTCTGTGATGCTCACCACCTGACAAGTTATCATGTTTGTTGAACATTGATATTATTTCCAGGCCTTGGCTTGCATTGACAACACAGTGGACATCTTTATGCATATAGCTTTTATTTTTCTTAAGTCAATTCCAGGATTTCTCGAAGAGAAGGTTAACTTTATATGTCTTCTGGTTGAATATTTTGTTTGCAAGGTTGAATTTAATTTTTTTAAAAATTATACCCATTTCTTTATTTGTATGTGTATGCGCGTGGGAAACGCAAACAGAGAGAGAGTCACAGTGTGCTTGTGTGGAGCCAGCTTGAGAGAATTGATTCTCTCCTCCTATCATGTGGCTTCTGGGATCAAACTCAGGTTCTTCAGGCCGGCCAATAAGCACCCTTACTTCCTCCGCCTTCTCACTGGCCCCTTGAACTTCGTTTCTAATTGGGATGCAGTAGAGCATGTCTGTTCATCTTTCCATGGCATATATGCCGGAATAAGTTTCATTTGCCTTTTCTTTCCCTGAAGACTATCTTATTTCTAAAACTGAATGCTATCTTAAGAAAGCTTTCAAAAAATTCTTGTTGGGTGATTAACTTAATATTACTACACAAGTAGATAGGGAAGGCTCTGGCTTCAGAAATGTGTGTGGCTATGATGGCAAGTTTTGGAAAGTCAGCCCTCCGAAGGCCTTGTAATATAACGTTCCTATCTTAACCTATTTAAAACTCCGGTGACGTTTCCCTGTTAATGTGTCCCTTATAGAAGTGCAACGTATTTTTTGAAGAGAGTAAGTGAAGCTGCAGAGATTTGGACCCGAGAAAGATAAACATATTTACGTGGATGCTTTGGCTCCACTGAGTTGATTTTATACATGCCTCTTCTTGGCAGGCTACATATTAACTATGTAGAGCCCTTTTGAATTGAAGAAACTATAAAGTGGTTAGATTAATTGATTTCATTAACATGTACCAGTTGCTTACTGTAGTGCCTACTTTGGGCTAATCTTGAGGGTATGTGTATATATACACATATACATATATATATATGTAATATATATGTATGTATTCATATGTGAGGGTGAACATGCATATTCAAGTAACTGTGTGTGTCATGTGCATGTGGAGGTCCAAAAAGAGCTTTGGGTGTCCTTCTTCAGGTGCTTTTTAGAGACATGAGTGTCTCCTTGTCATGGACTTGCTAATGAGGCTGGGCTGGCTAGGCAGTGAGCCCCACGGACCTGACTTTCTCACCTTCCTGCACTAGGAGAAGATTTTCTGCACACTTTTCCCCCACTTAACTGTGATGCAATCATTACTTTTCTGTGGCTATGATCAGATAGACAAAAGTAACTTAAGGGAGGAAGGTTTTAGTTTGACTTGTAGTTCCAGAAGAACAGAATCCATCGTGATGGTTAAGGCATGACAACCATCAGAGAAAGCCCGGGAATAGGAGCAGGAAGTGGCTGATCACATTTTACCTGTATACAGGAAGAAGTCTGAGAGCTCGGGAAATGGAGTGAGGCTATAAAATCCTCAAAACCACCTGTAGAGATATACTGCCTCCAGCAAGGCTCAACCTTCTAAAAAAGTTCCAGAACCCCAAACAGTGCTACCGAATTAGGTGCTCACAGACCTGAGCCTACTGGGGACATAGCCAAACCAGCACACATAGGTTCTGAGGATCAAATTCAGGTTCTTCAGTAGAGAAAAGAAAAACTTCTGCCTTTGCCCATCATCAGTTGAGTAGAACCCTTACTCTCGTCATTGACTGCATATCAGAAAGTAGAAGGCTGTTCAAGCCCATGGAACTGGAATATTTTCAGGTGTTTGGTCAGGAATGTGGCCTAACGCTGTAGTGGCATTTCCTTTTATTTTAATAAGTAAATCTTGTCTGAGGATCAGAAAAGTAAAACAGCCACACTGACCAGCCTTATAGACCCGTCAGCAATGACACACACCTTTAATTCCGGTAGCCACACTATCTTGACACAGAAACCGGGCAATAGTGGTGCGTGCCCTTAATCCCAGAACTAGAGAGGATTATAAAACGGGAGGAGACAGCTCTCAGGCACAGTCTCATTCTGAGATTCTTAGAGTCAGGATGGCCATCTTGGACTGAGGTCAAGGTAGGAGCCAGTGGCTGGCTGCTTTGCTTTTTGCATCTTCAGGTCGAACCCCAATTTTTGTCTCTGAGCTTTTATTAATCACACTCATGTAGTTCTGCTGCAACTGCTGTGCCTATAAAGTGGTTGCAAGACATGGTTATTAAGTGTGCGTGTCACACTTGTGGTAAGATAGGACCTGAAAATGAAAGATGTCTTAAGTATATCTTTGAAAAACTTTTGGTGATTAACAAACCATTATTGTTGGGCACAACTCTGGGTCATAAACTCTTCTGCAGACTCCAAACTAGGTCCTTGTTTGTCACATGGCCAAATCAAGAGTGCGGGCAGTGCTATTTATTGGCTATTTTTATGTCTTCCCACCCAAGGGACACAAAAGAAACCTACTGCTACCAAAAGACACACCGACTTCCAGCCACCAGACTCCCCTTTTGACATTCAGAAAGCACAGGGCCTACGACTTCACACACACCCAAAATGAAAATCACAAAATTCTCTCTACACAGAAGAAAAAAAACCCATGTAGTAGGATTCTAAGTAGAAGAAAGTAATCTGGCCTGGCCGCAGCGTGATTACTACAAGACATGCGGCCCACGGGTACGGAAAGGTACAAAGAAGGATGACAGTGAAGGAGACTGAGCAGGGACCAGGATGTCACACTTGGCCTCTCCTCCCACTGCCACACCCCTGCATCCCTTCTATCAGAGGGTCTTAGAAAAATTTCCTGGGTTTTGTTCCCATTTCGAGATGAGAGAATCTCGTACTAGAGGTGAAAGGGAAGTCACAGTTTCATTATTGGGCCAGGCTTTGTGCTGTTCTCATTTACAGCCTCTGACTGGGGGGCTTTGGCCCTCACCTGCATTTCTGTTCCCTTGTGTCCTCACATGATTTAAGACAGGTCAGCCTAGAATTCTCGGCAGAGCCCACTGTGGCCTGTACGGATATCTGAAGCTGGAAAGGATTCAAACCCTCTATTAGGGCCCTCATGACCGCCTTTTCCTGCACTAGTATGCTTCTGAAGCACAGCACTACCCGTCTTGGTAGTAAATAAGAAAAGTAGGTAACATTCCCCAGTCCTTTGTTTTGACTCTTAATTTCCATCCAGATACTCCATACCTCATGTGGATCTCTGCTCTCTGGTCTTCTCTTCAGCAGCACTTCTTCCTGCCTTGTCTCTGGGCTTCAACTCTTTTCCTTCGCCGGTTGCTTTTCCACACAAGTGGGTAATGCAAACATTCCCAAAGCCATCTG